ATTCCTCAGGGCTTGTGTAGGGCCTGGCTTTACCAAAGGTTTCCACTAGTGGATGTCCATTATTCTGATTTAACTGGGGCAGGATTATGAACCTAGCTGAAGATAACCCCCGAGAGTGGGGAAATATTATTTGGGGAAAAAAAAAATTCCAATTATCTATGGGGAAGGCTGTGTGTCCTGTGCGACTAGGTACAATTTAGGAAAAGAGGAGGGGGATTTCACGACGTGTCTCGTGATCACATTAGGCAATTTGCTGCTGCAGCCCCTGAAAAATGTGAGAACATGCTGCAGATCCTGCAAAAAGGGCAGGGAGAGGGACTTCTGTGTTTCAATGGGAGACTGAGTTCAAGGACCTAGCGCTCCCCTCCACACCCAGTGAATTGAGAAGGCTAATGCACCAGGGTGGACACACAGGGCAAAGGGAATTGGAGAGGAGGCGGGAGAGACGGAAGGCACCTGGAGGAGGGATAACTGGGCTCCAACAAGGCAGGAAGTCTGCTGGATTAGCCCCACCGAATGCTGGAGAGGTCAGCAATTTCAGGTACAAATAGAGCACAAAAATGTCAGGGTACTGACACTGGGATGGTTGGCCCTTGGTTCTCCTCCATATCACATTCTCCTCCTGCCCCTGGGAGAGCTCAGTTTTATTGTTTGGGCAAAGTGAAAGGAAAGATTCTAGATTCAGAGACAGCAGGCTCAGTGGAAGGTGGGGGACAGTCGTGGTCTGCAGACAGGAGGTTGCATGGAAATCTGCATGTGGACTAGGAAGCTCTCCAGTCCCTTTCTCATACCTAACCCCAGAAATCAGCCGCCATGAAGACCCATTCCTCTTCTTTTAGGTGTTGGGTGATTCCCCTCCAAAGTGTTTGCAGAGAAAGAACCTCTACAAACCAACAAGTACGTGTGATTTTACGAGGTGGAATTTCCAGGAAAAAAAAAATGGCTTCATACTCAATCACATACATAAAGGGCCCACCCGCAGATTAATCCTAGTTCTGCTCGAGAGCTTCAATTATCCTTAAATATGACTTGACAGTCAAGGATGCCAAAATCTGAGGGAAAGACCCACCAACGAATGGGGGGGGGGAATATCAATCAATCAATAAGAATTCTAATAGAGCCCTAATATCCAGAGTATACAAAGAACTCAAAAAATTAGACAATAAGATAACAAA